ACCTGACTATTTTCTGCTGATTTCGCAATCAGAAATACAATGACAGGTAGCTTTTATGTGGTTTGTACGAGCACGTCACTGGTAAGATGTACGAGGTAGTACCTTTTTCCTGGATCTACGAAGAATTTCGTTCGCGTCACTCTAAAAATCATCACGTCCCATCAATTCTTTAAACACGAACCAGAGAATTCGACCGAGATGAAATTTTCACGACGTTTCGGGACATACATCACGTCATCTTGGTATTATTCGAAAGGACGGTACGTCGATTGTACAACGTTCTTGTAAATGTTTAAGAAGATCTACCTGGTGGAAAGGGGTATCCAACCATGGAATATAAAACAAGCCTTGCACAGGCAGCCGTTCCTCCTGGATGTCGTGTCCGGTCATTCGACCCTGCATAAATTTTCGTCAAACCAATTTCCTCCGACTGTTCTCTGCCGGCAAGGTGAATTTTCCTGTAAAACGTCGCTGCCTTATTTCGTGTTACCGGGACGATTCGAGGTCTGTCCGCGTTTCCGTGCATATACACCGTCCTGTCAGCTCCGCGAAACGGACAAGAATGCAAATTTTCATCGTCGAAACACTGTACATGTATACGTCCTCCTATTCACGATTACTCGGAATTTTATAAAGGAAAGAAAAGAAAAAGAATCTTTCAACATGGTCCAACACGGTTTGCGCGACTTTTACGAAATGCAATTTGATTTCGTTCCGCGATTTTCCACAATTTATCCTAATTTATGCAGACAATACGCCTGTGCCCTTTAAACAAGAAGCAAAAGGAAGGGAAAGACTTCGAAATGCTGCTCGTAGCCCAAAGGCACCACCCACCCTCTTTGTCCGGAAAGCGAGAGGGTAGTTTCAAATGCACGATACGCGTTCTACGGTGTCGGGACATCTTTACCAGATGGAGATCTCCCTCCTTGGCGCGACACGCGTTATTGCACCTAAGGAGGAAGCATCTTCTTCGTCTTTGTTCGCTCGTGGGGACTTGAACCGCCTATATCCTTTCGGTTCACGTGGCTCCTGCGGGGAACAGGCTTCATTACGTCCCCATAAATCACGGGCCAATGTACCTTATACGGATCGGACCAACGGTAGGCATCGCGCCATTATTAATTACCACTACCACAAACACCCATAGCGCCAATAAAAACGTAGCCGGTGTGGCAGACGTACGCTGAATCGCCCTGGTCTGGAGATTATGGGGTTCGCTGAAAGAGCGACGGGGGAGATCGAGATATATTACACCGGAAACTCGGCATCGAAATAGTTTTTCATTTTGCTACTGACAGGATTATCGTCTTCACGGTTTACACGCGCGTTGGCTACTAAAATGTTTTCTTCTGCTTTCAAGTTAATAATTCGATCGTCCGTTGGAACGGCAAAATGGTTCGTAGAGAAAACTATTCGGTGATCGGATTACTGAACTAGATTTCAAAGCCATAGCTGGGCAACTGCAAATATTCTCTGCTTAAATTTTTAAAACCCAAATGGCCACCGTTTACGGACTAAAATTAAAAGCAATATCTATTTTCGAGAACGCGTGGAGCAGGTAACTTTTTCCCATGCTCGTTCTAAAAATCACTATCCATCAGTTGATCGTTGAATAGCGATCAATCAGGTAGCGTTTGATCGACGTTAACACGCGATTCGACATCTTTATTCGGTAGAAAATTCTCATTCGATCAGCCATGTCGAATCACGTTCAAATATACCTGTCGCGGTGCATAGATCGACGATGGCGTGTACGCTCTGTTACTTGGTCGCTTTGACAAAGGGGCTTACACCCGGCGAACTCTATCGAAAAGCGTTCGAGAGGGTGGTCACGATCAAAATATCATTATTTCCGTTTTACACCCTTCGAAACTCGATAACGCTTTCTCGTAATTGACTCGCCCCAATGAATGACCACAGCGTAGGTACTATCGTCATTGTGGGTAATGACAGGATTAAAACAACGGTTCGAACCAATCCGGTCGGCATTTAATTATTACCAGCATCCCGCTTCTATCGTGACACCCAGCCTCGTTGCCGGCATATATGTATGTATTCAGAATGCAGCATTTTATTGACCGACCGGACAATCGAGTCGCATATTTACACGTACAAGCGCGACATGGCTGGCTCGCCAGTGAGCTTCCCTCTCGGTCTATAATTGAAATTTAAAACGTCCCGAAATCCGGGGATTAAATCGCGTTTGCGCCCTGGTTTCATCGCCCCTATATCCCTTCTCCGCCAGTTGGCCCGTTGATTTTGCATCGGTAAGCCTGACTGTGTAAACGATCGGCTGATTATTCGATTCTCGACTTGAAAATCATTAGAAATCGTCAGAAAATCACAATATTCGACGCGAGTTACCGCAGTGTCTTGGTTGCTGTGTATAATCATCCCTCAACTCGGAGCTATAGAAGTGGTGCTCTGCCTCGAGTAGTGATTATCACGTGCAGATGTACGAAAGCTTCATTACACCTTCGGTCGCATTATGTGCGCCACTTGAAACGACTGGAACGAGCACAGTGGGCCGCAAGGTGTACCGTAAAAGCGTCTGGCTACACCGTCGCCTTCCTTTTCATCTCGTTCCTTAGAAAGCTTGTGTGCGAAGGGCTAGCCGTACTCGTCCATTGCGCAATTAGCGTCGCCAGCTAGCTTTTCCTTTTTCTCAGAAATTTTTTCTCGTATTCGTCTTAGTCCGCTTTTCGTCTGGGATGAGCGCATTCACCAGATACACATACGTACAGAGAGGAAGAGGAGGGAGAGGGCGCGTTAATTGCAGGGCCAACCCTCGTTGGAAAGCAACGTCTCTAATCTTCTGTGCGGGAAAGGCGAAAATAGAAAAAGAAGTAGGCCACGGGTGACCGAGGTTTTCAAAAATGTATAAGCCTTGCATAGGGAAAAATTGTCCCAACGTGCTGCTCCAATCAAGCTTTCCGCTCCGAAAGATTGTTAAGATTTTTCCTTCTTTTAATCATTTCATTTTTCTTCTTTATTTCTTCGTCGCCTCTTGTAAAATTTCCTCTTCTTTCTTCGCTCAGCAATTGTTAATAGTTCTCGGAAACCGGCGACGCATTTTTTCTCTCCACCCAAGAAGAGTTATTTCAGCTTTGTTAGCTGGAAGATCATCAAGTTGAATTGGCCATTTCCAGCTTATTTAACGATTCATCCGACGGAGTCGCTTTAAAATTCGTTACAGCCTGGAATCTGGGACGCTGTACGGAATTTGTTTCCCGTGTACCGTGACTTTTTGCCGGGTCGAACACGCGACTGCAATCCACCCCGTCCGTGCAGTTTCCCTTGCAAGGGGTTAATTTTAAATGGGTTAACCGAAAAACGAAACTGCCTGGCTATCGAGCACGATGAGTTTGCTTTTTGTTTAATTTAAATGGACGCGTACGGTAAGTGAGTGCAAAACAATTTAATTAAAAATGGCCCAGGTGACTTATAGGGCGCGGATATAAGACGTCGCGTGGTTGGAGAAAATTTAATTTAAGCCGAAAACATTGCAGCAAGTTATGGTACGATCCCAGGACGGAAAGAAGGCAACAGAGGGTGCATTTTCATTAATATTGATCATCGTTGCTGCTCAGTCATGCGGTTCTTGTTTTGCATCCAGCTGCCCGTTTCTCGCACCTTTCGACCTTTCATCCTACGGCGATGCTTTCCCTGCCGTCCGTTGTCTCGAGTAGAACGATAATTAATTTCTTTCGCTCTCGGCTCAATTAATAATGTTTCGTTGCTTCAAAGTCCAACGGTACGGATTCGAGATGAAAATTCATCGCGAACTACCTTCCCTTACCACCGGGCTTAAAAGTGCTCTTCCTTCAGTTCGAAAGATCTTTACGACAGCTTTCTTCGTAACCTAAAAGAGATTCTCTTTCTCTTTTGTAGAAAGAAAAGTGAGGTCGAACAGTAGTAAGAGAGTTTCTTAACAACTTATGGAAGTACCGTGAAAAGAGCTTCGATTATTAACACGTTTCGTGTTTCGGGTATTCGCAACTTACCCCTGTGACTTTTCGTTCCATTTGCATCTGCTTTGATTTCTTCCTTCTATATCGCACTATTTTTTATTTTGAATGATCAATGATTTTGATCGATGACCATGATCGCAGCAATCCCAACCAGCCTATAGGTTCTCTCCATCTCCCGTTTGTTCTCGTGAAAAATCACGGCAGTACCCCTGGTTCCAACGATCGATACTCGATCTCGAGACCGTTAACGATGCAATTTTCATCGGATATCCGGACGGGCGCGTTTCCCACCGAATTTCGTATCGTAAATGCATTCGTAACGATGAAAAGTTTATTCCGTGACAAATGATCTCGCAATGAAATTTGCATTCGCGTTAACCGACGCATGCTTAATGGAAAACACGAGCGGGAAATTGGACTTACGATCGAGTTAGCTGCATCGTTGTTGCCGATTACTTACGCTCGTTTATTTTTAACAATCGATGAATATATTCAAACATCGACGACAGCCATCTCTACGATAATAGAATGTAAATTAATTATTGAAAAAATTATTAATAAAAGGAGGAATGATTTTTACTTCCCTAGGAAAATAATAATTGCAATTTCCATGGCAGGAGTCTGTATCAAGCGGAGGACTCTGCAGTTTTAGCTTCTGCTCCGTTATTTCTTCTTTAAACGATGATAGAGTTCGGGGACGGGATGACTGAAAATGACATTAGGCGTCGGATGAAATTGAATAGTAAATCGTTTATTAGTACGAAGGTGTGATAGTGTCTCGAGTTAGCCTTGGCCGACATTCGTGATTAGAGTGAACCTGTGATACCATAAGGTGAACGAGTGTGATAGAGTTTTTATTTTTCTTTCTTAAATGATGTAAGAGATAGATGTTAGAGCTAGTTACCCTGTTCTGCGAGCTGGTGTTCTCCCCATCGATCGGACCGATTTCACGAGCTCACATTTTTATTTATTTATTTTCTTTTTTATTTTTTACGACCTTTATCTTATCCCCTTGTTTCTTTTTTTTTCATTCACCCTTCCATTCGATTCACCCTCAAGACGGCGCGATGGAAAAGGAGAACGCCCGTGCAAGCTAACTTTCAAGAATGCTACTTGTTATCATCCGAGGTACTCTAGTGCCTATGTTTTCTGTCATCTGATTTTTTTTTTTTTTGCCTATATCGCTAAATCGCAGCTAAGATTAGCGAGACTGAAGGGTACGAAAGGGGTGACAACCCTCCGTTCTCCCGTTCGAACGCAACAATAAATAATAATCTCGCGACTCGTATACGCGTTTTCAAAAAGGGACAAGAAATCTTCCTATCGTTCGTTCGTTCTTACGCTTCCTTCTCAAATTTTCTTCCTTTCTGCCTTGGTTCTCGCGCCAATTGGCCAGCCAACGAAATGCTCGGAAGGAACGAAAAAACGAAAGGCGAAAATCAAGCTCACCCTTGTTTATCTTCTCTCAGCATAGTGATAATAATAATAATAATCAATACGTTATACGCGGTTTGCATGAATATCGATAATATAACAATTGTTCGATTGCGACAAAGTACGTGTTGGTAGCGAATACAAAGATCGAAGGGTAGGTGCCTAATTGACAGAAAAATTCCTCCGGGAAACTGTCGAGAGCATTTTTAGCAAGTGAATACTCTGCTAAAAATTACTTTCAACCCCCTATCCACTTGCTAGAAATACTCTCGACAGCTCCTCGAGCGAGTTTCACCCTTAAATGGGCACCTACCCTTAACCGGGGCATAAAAACGATACTTTACCCCATTTTCTTTTAAATAAGAACAATGATAATAAATTAGGTTTCGTCGTACCTACTGTACACGAGTTGTGTGTCTCTCTTTCTTTCTGTGTGTATACATATACTTTTATATACCGTATATATAAAAAACGATCTCGAGAAACGTTTGACTAACATGGACGTAAAATCGTACAAAAGCGTTTGCCATTCTAATTCCATCGTGCGTGTTCTCGCGACCCGCCGTTCGTTCGCTCCTTTCATTCTTCTCTTCCTGCACTCTTTGATTGTACGCATCTTTGATCATACGTTGTGACTGGTCGTGCGCTTTCTTTTCCCCCCCCCCACCCCACCCCCGATAAGTACATGTAATACCACCTACAGTTCACCTTTATTCTCGAGCGCGAGCTCGTTACACCCTCGAACATCCCTCGTCTAGATCGATACTCGCGTTTCGTGGTTTCCTCGTCGTGCGAAAAGAAAGCAGAAAAATAGAATTTCTATGTAGACTTTAAACAGTCTCCTTGGGCGAATTTTTATAGCTTTGTCGTCGCGTGAGAAATAAGGGTGGTTTCGTAATTGTTTAATTTTCAATTATTTTACGAATCACTGAAGCGTGGAAAAAATTTCTGAAAGCAAGGGTAGTCGAGGGGGTAGCGCCTCGCGACCGTGTGTCCGATAGCGGTGTCCACTAAGTAACCTACGCACACACCTGATTTCTCGGCTCGTACATATAAAATTATATTTACAACAGAGTGATCTTTATTTTTTTTTTCGTGAGGTATTCGCTCTACATGCATCTAAAGTGTGTACAGTACCAGGAAGCGAAAGGGAGGCAACGGGAATCTGGATCATCTCCAGACAATCTCTTTAACACGTTGAATGGCACAATGAAAATACTTGTATATTGATCATTAATGATATTAACACATTACGTACCACGTTGATCATCGAATGGACCAGGATTTTTATCGAAGGCACAACTTCAATTAAGGGAGGAATTATGGTTCTCAGTTTAGCATAAAAGCAAAATAGAAAACTAATAATATAATTGCTACTTTTGGTAATGAAAATTTTGCTCCTAGTTTCAAAATATTTATTGTAACTCTTGAAATTCATGTGGCACGGGATGTGTAAGAATTAATTTTGTTTAGTTACCTTGAATTTTAGGGTTTAAAATGACTCTCATGCCATTTAACGCGTTAAACGATTAGAAAACCTCATCTCACCGGCTTTTCATCGTTTTCTCGTTTTTCCTCTCGCACTTTTCATCTCACTCTCGTCTTGTTCACGCGTTAAGTCTCTATCGGCGCTATACAACGCGCTGCTCGATATAAATAATTTAAAAATTATATACTTTATATATATATTAAATTCATTCTCTGTTTCTTTTGTCCATTGCTCGTCGCTTCAGGGAACACGTCACACGTCACACATGCACGCACACGAGATAGTTCGATAACGATATGATACAGGTATGCTACACCGGGGCTATCCCCGGACACGTTTCATCTTCACCCTTTCGCTTCCTGCATCGTTTATTTACACGGGATCGCTCGCGAATAATGCTTGTCCGCTTTCTTAAACTCTACTGTATTGTTATAGCTATAGTTGCCTTTTGTATCGTGTACCAGCGTGTGCAGAGCCTGTACAGCTTAGTAAGAACACTGTCCTTTCTATCATCCTTTCAGAATCTTCATCTTGGTCTGTCTGTCTCTCCATGGCAGCGTGATCGAGTCGCCTCGCGAGCGGAAAATCGTGCGACTACCGACGACATACCGTACGATATTAATTAGAATCGTTAATACTACGAGGGTACGTCATCGCGTGAAAATATGGAGGGGTTTAAGCTTTCGTTTGATCGATTTCGAAATTGTTTATAAAATATGAAGAACCAAAACTTATGGTTATTAGTGTTACGCTAAAACGTACCCTAAAGCCCGATGTCCTCCCTGCAAATACCATTTCCCGGCAAGATCGTTTCGATTCTGTGAAAAATGAAAAAGGAACATAAGGAAACATATTGCACTGTTGTTGTTTGATCCGTTGGGAAAGGAAACCGTCTTGATACGCGACGAACCATTGTCAACAGCTTTCAAGTTATCGTTTTGCCAGGTTTGTAGAAGAGCTTTGAGAATTTGGAACAAACAGGGAAAGGGCTCGCAGAAAGAAACGCTATCTATTCTCTTTGGAGGAGCATCAAGGCTTTCGCGAAAGCTCCCGCTTTCTTTCCTTTCTTGATGGATTTTCTTTTCCTTTCTTTTTTTTTCTTGTTTCCCGATTCAAACGCGCCGCGACCTCGTACGAGATTGCAAAAATAGGAGCGTGTCCCCTTGATCGTTCGCGTTGAAAAAATCCGTTCCTGCGTTCTTACGTTATACGATAATTACCTAGCGTTCGTAATTGACGAGGAAAAGTTGCAACTTTGTGCTTAAATTACTGGTGAAACTACTAGCGTGTATGTACGTGTATGCGTGTACGTGGTACCGAATGAATTCGTCGCGAGTGTCTAAGTGCACGAGAAGGTATTTAGGTGCTATTCTAAGTATCTGTTCCGGGGACAAACGCGTATGAAACTGTTCTCTGGTATTTTTTTTTTGTACGTTATTATGGCTGATATCTCTTAATCGAGGGCAGTCTTTGCGAAATTGTTTAGGATCGTTTGGCAGTGGATCGGTTCACCTTTTCCTTCTCTCTATGAAAACGTTTAAAATCCATTCGTCACTGTGGAGAGACGCGGTAGGTAGTCGCACGTCTCGTCACGATAACTCGTCGACGTTATATCGTTAATTATATTTTTAATAATAATCGTCTCGCGAGCAGCTCTACGTGTATTAAATTACAAACTAGAAGGCTAAAAAGTCGGATTACTTAATAGCGTCCTTTGGTACCAGCCTGAGTCTCATTAGATTACAAATAATTTCTTTAAATAGTCTTACTAAATCACTAAGAGATCACTGTGTTTTCCGTGAGTGTGTTTCTGTCGCGCCCTATAATAAACCTGATCGTCGACGTTTTATAGTCTTTTCTATTGCTCCGATAGATATCCTTTGAACCACTAAGTTCCTTCTCATCATCGTTCGATACGAAATACTAAAATACAATACTTTCTATATCACGCGCAACAATTATAATAATAAAAAAAAAGAAAAATGAAAGAAAAAATAAAATACGCCAGCGTATCGTCGCTAGGCGTACGAAAATAAAATTCTCTATTCCTCGATAGACGAAAACAATAAAATGAAAAAAAGAAAAAAAAAACAATTTACAAAATAAATACGCGAAACAATACGCGGGATCGTTACTTTTTAGAAAAGTAATTACAATCTTCTACTTTATCTCTTTTTCCTTATCTTTGTCATCTTTGCAGATAATCCGTTCTTCGAAGGTTGTTCTTCGTGACCAAACATTAGGACACGATGTAATCCGCGGAATGATGGGAATGATGCGAGTTTCGGTGCTTGTCCTTCCTGTGATTTGTCCTCGAATTGCTGCTGCGTGTACCGGTGGTACCGGTCGTGCCGGATGTGTGATGGCTGTACCCGCTGTCGCTACCGAAACTACTGTCCGGTTGAGCTTGGTACAACCTGCCGGAAGAAATCTGCTCGCCGTCTCTCGTCGCGTAATACACCGGTTGCGTGTACTTGTCCTCGTTATAGAGACGATCGGTTGGCTGCGAATAGGTGTCCGTGTACTCTCCGCCGACCTGCGTGTAGACCGGGGTCGCGTCCTGGTTCTGCAACCCGTAATACTCGGCACCGTATTGCGTCGAGTACTTGTACTTGTCGTTCGATTTCCGTAACCTGTCCTTGTTGCTTCTGCTTTGGCTGGAATAGTGATGGAGAGGACCTAACACCGGCACACTCTCGTACGGGTTCTCCTCGACCCTGAGCGCCTGGGTGGCTGGCATCGGTGGTACGAAATAGGGTAACCTATGGGCCACCGAAGGGACGGACTGTTGTCGTTGATTGCTATTCGATCGGTTGCCAGCTACACCTGAAATCGAAGGATCTTCGGGTTAAATCTAGAGTCCTTTGAATCGGAGGATTTAGAGCAGAGCTGTATCTATTTCAACCAAGACTCACCGGCTACGCTGGGATAGAGCTGGAGCAACGCGTCCAGCAGCATACCCTCGTGAAACTCTCCCACGTCGTGACTCTTGTCTCTCCTGCGTCTGTCGAGACTCCTGGGACTCCTGCCCCGTTTCTCTCGCGATGGCCTGCCACCGGCTGGACAGGTGCCCCAGGTTGGACCGGTCGAGGTGAGCATCCTAGCCTCGGACGGTTCGCCGACCGACAGCTCGTCCTCGGCGAACTCGTCCTCGCTGGCCGGCTTCGACGACGGCCGATGATGATGCCGATGATGGTGATGATGGTGAAGCCGATTACGTGCGTTCAACTCGCTCTCCTCGTCCGTTTCCGGATGGTCCCCTGGAACGAATGAATAATGCATGAGCAGAGCCCGGCGCGGCATTCGTTGCGCGACCCAGCCACGGTTACGATAATTAATTGGACGGTTCGTTAATTAATTAACGGGCAATCTCTTTTCTCGTGTCAAAGTTACGATCTCCGCTGGATGAAATCAAGTTGAATCGACGGGGTGAGGGTTGCTTTTAATTTTCAGCCGGGTATCAGTGTTGGAATTAATTAGCTGGAGAGTATCCGTTATTGTTGTTGTTGCTTTATTTCAATGAAAACCAAGACAATCGTTGGGCGAAAGTGAAACATGCGATCGTTATTAGTTATCGAACAAGGTTCGAAAACGTGCGTGGAACACGTTTCCGATAGAATCATCTGGATTTTGCATTTATTATTTCTATCTTTTTCTAAATTTAACTGCGATTTAGTCTTTTGCCCTGAATAATTTTCGTTCGATGCGATTGTTAGCTGATCGTATTGTTTGCGGGTGAAATCAAATATGTGTTTGAGGTAAAAATCAAAAACGATCATTTTGGTTGGGCACCTCTCGGTTGGTCTTTTCATTTCTCCACCCCATACAGGGTTCACCCAATTTTCGTGTTTCGCTGAAAATCAAAAAACTGAGAACAATAGCCGCGTAACGAACAACGCGTACTGCGTTCCACGAATATCGTCCTTAGACCATTATGGGCAAAAAAAAAGAAAAAATGGAACGAATGAAACATATGGCGTGAATTTGACGAACAGAAGACGCGACAGAAATTATCGCCTAACGATCGAATAAATGGAAAAGTATACACACGTAACGTTGAAACGGACGAAAGTTTATCGACTGTCTCTAATCGACATTAAGCAATCGACGTTCTCGCAGTTCCTCGAATCTCTCGAGGCGTTCCATCTTCGTTTTCCTCGGAACAAGATCGTTATTTACAGAAAAAGAGACGAGTCTCTGTTTACCGCGGTTGAGCTTTTAATCTCCGTCATTCTATATCTTCTCCTTTATCAACGGTTCAAGCGAATAAGCCAGGATTTCCCCGGGGATACCGAATTCCATCGCACCAGAAGAAGCTCTGCACTCGGCACGAAATCCTTTAAAAATCGCGAAATAAAATCTATGCGCCAATGGATCAGCGAAACATTCATGACACCGAAAATCTTAACAAGATAACTGTACCAATCGAAATTTGATTAAAGAATAATTCCAAAGCGAGCATACGGACAAAATTAACCCAGTAAATTCCATCTTCCGATGGCGGCGCTGAGTGGTGCCCGTTCCCGAGCGGTGATTCGGGTAAAAACTTGCAAGGTCCCCTCGGAGTTCGGGCAAAAGTTTTTTCCGAAAGGGATTTCACCGGTATAAGACCACCCCGCGTGACGTTAACCAAGACAAATTATCGTGCCGAAGCGGAGGAATACGATCTCGTATTATATATAGCAAAGGTGTGTGATTCATGCAGGTACACACGTGTTTACGTGCACATATACAGACAACGGATCGAAGAGATGCGCCTCGTGCAGCACGTATATTCGATTACCGCATCCTCGTCAAACGTCGAAAGTCTCATCACCATGCTAATTAGCCATCCGACTAATGGGAAGTATAAGTCAGAGGTCGTGTCACGCTTATCTCCTTCGGGAGAAGGCCTCGCAGTATGGCGGGTCGAGGAGTGGGTGGTTTACACGCGGACAGAGAGGATGAGAGAGAGAGAGAGGAAGGCTATCAAGATACTCGCCAGGGCTAAGGAACAAGATACACGAAGAAGAAGATGAAGAGCTTCCGATTCCGTCCTGACGGAGATTAGACACCGCCGACGAACTTCATCGCCGACAGTTCTCGTCGAATTAATCGGCAGATAAGAACAGCCGGAGAAAAATGATTCACATGATTCTTTTCCACGTTTCGAAGCTGTAGACCTAACTTATCCCGACATTTACCCTTAAGCTTAACGTTGAAAGGGTTCCTGCTCTCTTTAATGGTTTGTGAAATCACGGCTCATGATCGCAGTGCACCGCATTGCCCGCTTGAAAAGCGTCAGTTGTGCAAGTCTGCTCCACGGCAATGAAAATTTCAGCGGAGAAAGAGGGCAGCAGACTTTCGGAAAGTTCCGAGGATACCGGGTCAAAGTTCGGTCTCCGTGGAGTCGGTTCAATATTTGAAAGCGGTTTAACTCGCCAGTTAAGGAAAGGTACATAGAAAAGAAGAAGACACAATACGGTGTTAGCCAACAACAAAGTTCAACCAGATTCAACTCTCAACCGGAAGGTTAATCGCGACACCGTGCAACTGGGATCCTACCTATGTTCTCTGTGAGCAGGATCGAGCCTGAGGATCACGGTCTACACCTGACACAATCTTCACAGGCGAGTCTCGTCTAGAATGAGAGCGCTTGATTGACGTTTCGACGCGATACGAACGAATTTTTCTTTCGAATCGAAAGAATTTTGCTTTCGCGAAGAAAGCAATCTCGTACTGATTTCCCGTTGAATCACTCACCGTTGCTGAGCTCCTCGTAGACGGGATTGTAGAGGTCCTGCGACGTGTACGGATCAGGACCAGGACTGCTACACACGAACACCCCTCTGTTGCTATCCTTCACGTCCAGCATCTGTCGTGAGAATGAAAAATTGTTAGAACGTCGAGTTGGTTTCTCGGCTGAGCCGACTTTAACCCCGTTTAAACCATTACGACATACATTTACAGGGTGGCTATGTTCGAATACTGTAATCGTCACTTGCTACTGATTAACAAAATCATTAACCCTTCCGACAGAAATTGTCATAACTTTCGCGTCAAGTCGGAAGAGCTAAGATTCCGCAAATCTCAAGAATGAAACGCGTCCTTATTGCGTTTCCGGTCGACAATTAACTCGTTCCCACCCTTAAAGACCCTCGAAATTCTCCGATATCCCGTCGCCCCGGGGCAAAACTTTGGCCAAGGAAACGCTGACGCAGAAACGAGGGGGTTGAAAGTTAATCCTTAAATCAACGGAGAATTGAAGCAGGGAGGATAGTAAGGAACGGATCCTGATTTTATTTATTGAAGCAACAAAAGTGGTTTCAGGTGAATTTCCTAAAATCTGACCCGGTAATTAATTCTTGAGATTTTCTGCTGCTCTGGTTAAAAAAGATTCGAGGAAATGAGAGAAGAGGGATGACGCGACGAGATTGCTGAGATGATCGATACGACACGGAGGTAGTTCATCTTTTCTTCCGGTTAACCCAGTTTCGCGACAGTTGGTTTCCGGTCTTCTTGCTCTCTTGCATTCACGAATACGTCTAAATGGCGACTTGATAACAAATTTACAGCCGAGAATAATAGACACACAGATATTAAATATTTTTAACTGTGAACATTCACCCTGTGTCTTGGTATTTTTTAACGAGCTACGAAACGCCAAGTATCCGAAGAGGTCGAGTTACAAGTTTATAACAACGACGGCGGAAGAGAACAATAGCGAGGAGAGGTTCGAGCACTTTCCGAGTACTTCCTAATAAAATTTGATGGGGTTGATTTTCTGCTTGCATACGTTCCCATTGTTCGTTCGCACGGCGCACTGTACTAGCCGAAGCTCGAAAATGTTTGCACAGCGTTTTGTTTTCTTATTGTCTTGAAACTGCTTTCATATAATGTAAACGATGGTCGATGAGTATTTGCGTTACGATGGTGTACCGCAGTTTCTTTCATTTTCAAATTATAACGCTGTCTTGCAAAGCATTCTGAAAATTTTCAACGCATAGAGAAATTCCTAATTCATCTAACGGACTTTCAAAATAATTTCTCGAAGAAAGTGGAAAGGCAATTGGATATCTGTGAACGATCCGTCGTCCCTGTGACCCCGAATCGTAAAAATCGAGTTACCTAGGTAATCTAGGAAGCGAGGACAGGGAGCGAAGGCAAACGAAACGATCGAGTTTCCCTTCGAATTGAAGTCCCGCGGGCTGCGCTATCAACCACAAAGGAGGATCACTCGATTACTTTTGCTTCGTTTTCATCGCACCACGGCTAGAGGGTTTCTCTCCCTTGCCACGGCCCCTTTTCCTTGTCTTCTCGCATCTCGTCTAATCACGCGTTCCACCCTTCGTGTTTCCGTCTTTCGATTACCTTCTGACATCTCGATAACCGAATTATCAACCTTCAACTACTTCTTTTTTTTCCTCTCTTAATCAACGATTTCTTTTTCCGTTCTTATTTGGTCGAATTTTATGTTTCATGATTTTTCTCGTCTTGTTTCGAAAGGAAAAAGATAATTTGCAAAATCGTGACAAGGAGAGCGAGAAGAATCAGAGTAGAATCTTCCAAGATTGCTTGCCAGCTAAGAGAGAATCGAGATGCAGTTGGATGATAGACGGCAGAGCAAACGCCCGAAGCTCTTTGCTCTGAATACAGATTCCAAGGGCGATATTATCGCTCTCGAAAGAGGATCACTCGATTACCGGCGTCTCGTTTAGGGCGACAGGCCCGGACGAAGGTAATTGTCGCCCTTATGAAGCGTAGCTCCGGCAATGCAGCTCGAGGGTTCTTTCTAATGGATACGAACGCTTCCTCCTCGAATCACGTCCCCGTAAATTTCGCAAAACTCATCAACGAGCAGAAAGGAGAATCTGGTGATAATTCATTAGAAGTTGACTGCCAATTTCCTTAATAACGAAATGAAAAACTATATTTTCATTTCAGATGACACGAATGCTTCCCTGTTTCCTTCGTTTCCATTTTTTCTCATTTCTATCCTCGAATCCCCGGATGATCACGTCATCTCGAATTTTCGATCCTATACGTTCGCCAAGGGTCTCGACATTCGGACAAATCTTGTTAAATTCCCTTTGGAGAAACAGATAAAGGGATGGATATAAACAGCGAGATCAGGTCAAGCGAGCGTGAAAGAAGGAAGGAAGGAAGGAAAGAGGAACGAGATTGAGATAGAGGTTTGATCCATCGTATCCAACAGCAGGAAGCAATATGTCCGTGCTGTAATAGCATGGAGCACGGAGGTTAATGGGTTGTCCTTAACACGCCTAACCTGCCCGACGTTCCCCCGTGTCTGTCCGCAGTGAACGGCCTCTACGTCTGTTCCAACCTGGCCATCGCACATTGTATCGCGATAACCGGCTACCCTTAATCGACTAATTTACCGCGTCTCTTCCAATTACCGGATATGCGCGAAGAATACCAAGCTATCGATGAACCTAATTTCTCCATGGATCATCCGTTTCTCGACCCTTCAGTTAAACGTCACGAATCTAATCAAACGATCCTGATACACCTATCTCTCTCTCAATTTATTGATCACGAAACTCTACTATCTAAGCAGTTTCAACATAAATTAATATTCTCCGAGATAATTGTCTTGGGTATCTAAATGGAATGCCAGGTGAAATGCTGGTAGAGGACAAGCGAACTGCGGACCAAAATCCACTTTACGACCGCTCCATGTCCATTTTCGTCACGCTTACTTGAAATTAACCATCGACCTACTTTCTCACCGTAAACCACTATAACCTTGCACGCTAGCCATAAGCATGTTAATCTAACCTGACTAATTGTTAGTTAGGACGGGAATCGCGTTAGGTTGCCAAGTCAGATCCCAGATTTCCTCGTTGGCCATCGTTTTCCTCGTTGGTCCTGCCAAGCTGTCAGGGGTCTGATGGCCTAACGAGGTGCCAGGATATGGATTAAAGCAGCGTGATTGAGCCAACAACAGGTGGATCAACGGCGAATCGAGGAGCAACGAGATTCTCAAGATTGAACGTTTATCGGTTTATTCAGCAGGGAAGAGAATCGAAAAGCGTGGGTGTTGCACGTTGGAAACGGAAGTCTCTCGGTTTCGCAAACGTTCACGGTGTCGTGATCGACAGGGGCCATGGCCTCGTTGCTTAACGACGTGTCACGAGCATCGATCCGAGCCTAGTAATCGAGGCAACAACAGGTGGATATTAAATCGACCGACTTCCGGTCCCATAGATTGCCAATTTATTTGCCTATCCGCTGCCTCGCGTTAGCTGTGCCATTGAAACCGGATGGAGAGAACGAGCTTGATATTTTTTTTTATGAAATACTGACGCTTGTTCTTTCTTTCCCTCGCTACCTTTCTAGATGGACCCGTTTGTTCTCATAGGAAAAATTTGAACACAGAAGTGGTTATTCCGTGTCCACGTGTATTTTTCGTTTTATCAGGAGACGATTGGTTCGCGCCCGTCGAAGTATCTTTTCTTACACGATTTTTCGCGTTATTCCCTTCGTTACGTTGTAGTTTCGCAACGTTTCTCTTTCATTTTCCGTTTCACGTTGCCGTCCGTTCGCTTACGAGGGATGCGAACAGGATGGGATGGGATTGTGGACCGGGTGAATAACCACTCCTTGTCAAATTTTTCAGTAAAGTAATTTTATTTTCTTAAACTCCTCATCTCCTCCCTTCCTCTCAATACTTTTAATATACACAGGATTTTATCTCTCTCACTCTCTCGCGTACCTCCGCTCGCTTCTTCCACTTTCGAATCCTACCTTCTCTCGAATTTATTTACACAAGACACGGTTTACCGTACCGTTCACGGCAAAAGACACGTAAACGACAATAAATAATCATAATAATTAATCTGCGCGAGGGGTAATCATTAAAGTGCAATAATTAATCGAGCGTCTAGACAAACGAGGAAGAAACTTAAATCCATTAATTTGTCTTTTACTCGAGTGCACAATTATTCTCACGGATCTCTTTGATGGTTTATATTAATATACGATTATCACTCATTCTCTCGTATTCTCAGCCTCACACTGTGTATATTATTTACAATTTTCAGGTTGCTCGGGTCTAATCTATTTACAACCATGGAGTGCACCTAGACGCCGTGCTGACACAATCGAAAATAATAAGGCCCCTCGCCCTTTCCTTAAAACCTTCCACTATTTTCATCCTCTTTCCGATATCTCGAAGGTGGGTACCGTACAACCCTCCGTTAAACATACCCACCTTTACACCTTGCCATTATTTCTTTCCATCCATTTTGCTTGTCATTCGAGAAAGAGATTGTGCAAGCACGGCTCGTAACAAAATAAATACTGACTAGTCCGCGCTAGTGTCTTCTTCGCCTCGTCATTGATAGCGAGCAAGAGGAACGAAAAGCTAGTCGACCAAATCGGTCGGAAAACAGAAGGAAAGTTGAACGAACGGTCGAGAGTGCCGTTCGGCGTGGAATGCAACAACGTAAAATAGGGTGACTGGCGGTGCAGGAAGATAGAAGAAAAAGAAATCGAAAGAAAGAAGACAGAGACGATTTCTCGAAAGGTAACACCTGGTATAGTTTTTCGTCAGCTCGCTGAACCCGCAGAGACACTAGACTACCTACAACCTCACGATGGAACTTAACTACGACGACGAGGACGACGAGTTTATAGCGAAACACGGAAGCCACGAATAAAAAGAATCGCTCGAACGATCCTGGAACGATCGTGGCCAACGATATCACGGGATATGTGAAGCATCTTCTGGCCCGTAACACGTTCGAAGCGTCGGAAGGACACGTGGAACGAGATAGGGACAGACATCCGAGACGGAGCAGTCTCTATAAGAAGATGTCGCTCGCGAACGACATGTGTCACGTGTTCTGTACGTACAGATATATGTCCTCGGGCTTGCTGAGCAGACTGTGTATCTGTTGCATCGTGCACAACGGACACACCTCCTCCTCGGTGCCCTCGGCCACGATCCTTCTCGCGGTACCCGGTGCCTTCTTCGACGAACCACCGTTGTCCACGATGTACGCGTAACCGTCCGAGTCGAGGGAGTTCGATCGAGGCGAAGATGAACGGAACAATCTCGACACTTTGTTTCCGCCCGTTTCCGATTGATTATTCGTCCGTTCGTACCTCGTCGACTCGATGTCCCGATCTTTGAAGTCGATGTACGAGTAACCCTCCGAGTCGACCGACGGTCGTCTAACGTTAGACGCGTCGTCGCGAGACGGTACCGGTTGGCCGTGACCGGAAGGAGCGACGGAACTGTGCGATCGAACGGGTGGCGTCTGAAGCCTGGGTCGATGGGTGGGCGTGATGGGAAGTCGGGAATCTATCGGACGAGCCGACACGCAGCTGTCGTTTAGATCCGGACTGGTTAGGACATTGGATGGCGAGGGGGTGGGTGGAAGGGGTTGTTGGCTGGTTATCAGGGCGTTTTGACTGGCCAGTAGCAAGTGACTGTTTCGAAGAAGGTTATTGCTGTTCTGCGAGAGCGGACTAGTCGAGCTGGCGCATCGTAATGGCGCGTGAGTGGCTATCGAAAGCGGAACACCCTGTGACTTGGCGAGGAGAGCGCGTGGCGTTCGATAACCACCCAAGACCGCCCTGGAGGGCTTGTCCTGTACTCGCAGTATAGCCCTAGGATCCCGGTAGTCGAGATAGTCGAGATGATGAGGCGCGGGAGGGCGGGCACGCTGCAACTGTTGCGGCTGTCGGTCCCCTAGGCTGTGTCGTTGATCGGGATTTCGTACCTCGATCGTCGGCGCCTGGCTCGGATGATGGCTCGGCAGGTGATTGTGCAGCTGCGAGTGCGTCACCGCTTCCGGCAGGTCCTCGTACAGCACCGCGCCACCCGCGCTACCGCTTCCGCCGAGCGACTGTCCATCGGTCAACACGCGAGCCCGGCCACCAGCCGCGGCCGCGGCTGCGGCTGCCGCTGCCGCCGCTCCTGCTGCGCTCTTGCACGGTAGCAGGTTCTGAACTTTCCGCTTGTGCCTGCAACAGAAAATCCGTCCTCCTTGTTAGTCAAATGTAAAAAGGTTAATAAAGAGAAAAATTTGAAAATCCAGGCTACACCCTTTTCTTTTACACTTCCGTCCTTCGCGTAATCTACCCTCCGCATTACCTCAAAGCTCATTATAATATCATCCACATAAATTTGAAAAAAATTTTATTATTTCAAGAATATTCATACGGGTAAGAAAGGAATTTTTGACCTGCGCGTTTAAGGGTAGAAAGGGGCGGTAATAAAACGGTTCCTGGTGCGTGATAAAGCACCCTTCAGCGGCGTAATAATTCTACGGGATCGGAAGTGGGAGAAAGACGAACAAATTTGCTGGCCCTTGGTAAAAATGCAGAACGGAAGGTTGAGTTTCTCGTTAAAGGTACCTCTATTACAGACAGAAAACCGAGAACGAGTAGATCCTGGTCTCATCTACGTACACCAGGGAAAGTTCACGGCAGAAGGTGGAAGAAGCTCGATTTGCGGTACCCCCGTCAATCTCGCCTTCCATCTTTCGAGGTGGAACTCGCGGAACACCGACGAGAAAGGCTCACCGACACGCTATTCCGTTGCTACCGCCGCTCGGCAAAGTAGTTTACCCTTCAAGTTTTAATTATCTAATTAACTCCGTCAGTTCGATAATATTTGCCTGTGTAATTAAACCGCGCCAGCTAAGGTTAACAACTTGTGGCGCACTTCTCAATAGTAGGTCGTCGAGGTGAATGGCTGAGGGAAAGGATATCTCTGTGCATTTACACGGGAATAGATCGGGGATGGTGAAGGATATAATAGGCAAATTAATTGTCGAACCGAGACGGTGCTTTCCGGTCTGATTTTTCATCCAACGATCGAATCGAGGTATAAGGCGAGGCATCCGTTATTCCTCTCAATTATCCATAATACTGTTAACGGGGAAACCTTTTCTGACCACTGTTACAATTTACACACTACCGTCCATAAATATTAGGATACTCCTAGTTTTTGTTAGAAAAGAATATAGAATTAACTGAACTGTACAAAACAACATAATCCATTAAGACAATTAAATTGCTCGCTACAATATCATCAGAATGATTAATTTTAATTATACTATAACAACATAGATGAAATTACTCGAAGAGCTGGTCGAGTCCTAAAAGATTATCCCGTGGGTGGGCAAAGAGCCAGTTACGTCGTAAAACAGCGGTTTAAACGAGAAACTGGAAGCCTAGATCCGTGTTCCGAGGAACTCCCGATGAACCCCTGCATGCGTTTCCTCGTGAACCGTTCCCATTCCAAGTTTCACGCTCCACGGTCCGAGCCGAAAGAGCCAGTATACATATAAAGACGAGCGTAAACTAAGCATCGTCTGCTTCCTCTACCGGCAAGATTTCAATTTGCCTAATGCTGTCGACTGTCAGGCATAGAAATGCAACCGCGCTTAGCGTTGCTCTCGACGCGTACCGACCGCCAAGCACGGTCCGTGAGTTTGCATGCACAGTTGCCATTTTCACGGCGCCATTTTCGCCTGCAGCATGACGAGAGCAACGTACACCGGATGCACGTGGAAAGCGTGGCAGCCGACGCGTAACCTGCTTCTCACCCGATCCCCGTCCATTCGTTCTGATCGTCTTTCTCTTTCGTCGAAAAATTGAAATATTAATATCAATCGAGAGAGGGTATTTACTCCTCGAACGACATACGACGGCAGGATCATGATTCCGTTTTGAAAGATACATATATCTGGAATACATTCTGCATTTGAATTTAAGGGATGCACGGTTCGGTTCAATTTCCTGGCCGGTGCCATCCTGTTCGGTTAAAGGATATACCTGTATATCGAGGAATAGTGGAGGAACGACAACATTACCGATGTCGAAGGAGGAGGAACGGAGAATCCTGCGAGTTATGAAAGGTAAAAGGGTGCGAGCGGTCGGGCGAGGGAGGGGGTTGGAAAGTCGTTTATCGAGTCGACAGGTTGGGTGTACCCAGGCGCATTGATATGCAAAATTTGTAGTTTCGAGAAGCTTACGAGAAACTCCGGCGGCAAGTAAACTTGAAAATCCGATGCGCTCCGGTACCAGGGGTTGGCTTTAACCGGTTCCCGCTTCCGGCACGAGGTTTCACGTACGCGCTGTGTCGGCTGCCCCGAACCGAATACCTTTAACGCGCTTCTAAATATTCCGACGACATTTTTGCGGCTTCCGAAACACGTGTGAAGGAATATTTTTTCTATCCCTTTCAAAATTCGCCCCTTAAAGCTTTCTCAGACAATTTTCTTTATTTCTATTTTATAAACGCACGCGGAAAACAAAATTGTCTCTGTTTTTCGATTAAATCGTGCAACTTTTAGTCGGAAGAACAGAGGGTGGGGGTTGAAAGGTAGTGCGAAAGATCGGTTCGTTCATTCGCAAGGATTATACGGAAGTCTGCAGATGACTGAAAGCAAAAGCGGAGTTGATACGCGTTTCCTCGTAGTCGCACGCAACGCGTAACACGATGAACAGACGAGCTGTGAAAACGCTCTGGAAAGGCTGAAAGACGAGCTGCGAGCGTCGGGGCAAGATAGAAACAGAAAAGGCAGTTAATTAGTCCGAGTTAAAAGCTCCGCTTAAATGACCTATTCAACGCTTAGTGACAGCGAACTCGTTCCACCTCGACGCAGCTTTTCGAAGAAAGCTTGGGAAACGAGGCAAGGAGACGGGTCTGCAACAAGGCGTCGTACGTCTTCGTTACGCAGAATGCAACGGTGTAGAGTCGAAAGAGGGGATTATATTGTAAGGGTAGGTAGAAGAGTTAAAGGGTAGGTTTCTTCGAGAAAATTAAGTTAAAGTATTAGTCTTGTTATTTACCATCCTCGTATCGCACAGATGGAAGACAGAAAAGATAGGAGATCAATTTTAGAAATAGACAAGAAAGCTATCTTTGATTAGAAATCTTGCTACACTGAAATATAATTCATTTACAGACGCATCGATGATAACTATAAACTGAAACGAATTTCACTTTGGGCTATCGTACATGTAAAAGAGGAAACGTAAATGTAGCCATGTATAGAGGGCCAGGATTAGGAGGGAGGTGGTGAAACCCTTGGACAAACGCGTGCACCAGTGTTCGAAGGGTCGACACTCCACAAAGCTCTTTATGGTCCGTTATACGACCGCAAGCTCGCGATACCGTGTTTAGCACGGCTATGCGATCACGAACACGACTAGCCTATTCCAGGTGCATTCACAGTCCCAGTGTTTCTCATGCAATGCGCGTTTTACGACTTCACCCGTCGCTCACCCCTGCGATTCGACGAACGTCAAAATTTACGCATTTCTTTGAAGTACCGTAACATCAGTGGCTCACGCGATGCGAGCACAGTTGACAATTACTTGCTAACAACACTGTCTGCCCAAGTGATTTATTTCCCTTGATTTGCGGACCATTAGGTCTTAAATAACGTGGCACGTATACTTTTATGTCATCAAATCGTGTCGGAGTTTTTATTTGAAAATCAAAACCATTTGATATGCAACAACGAAAATACATTTCCACCGGTTTCTGCGTGCAGACACTTTATAGCCCTTCAAACTTTATGGGTCCTCTCGAGGGTCGGACCTTAGGCGAAGCATAAATCCCGTTGATTTATCTCGACGAGCATACAGGGAGTCGTGCAAAACCAAATTCAACCCCTTCTTCCTGGTGTGTCCAGCTCGTACAAGCAGTCTGGGATATTGTTTTGCCGCTATCTTGGTACGCGCTTATCAGGAAGGGTTAGCACCGCGGTGACATTATTTCCGTCCGGTCGAGCGACTTCCCCCGCGACGGTTATCGGAAAGGGAACCGATTCGGATCCTCCTCGTCATCGATTGTTTATGACTATTCGGAATAGGATCTCTGTTCATCTTTAGGTACGAATATTTAACGATGTACAGAAAAATTTTGTGCAAGCCAAAATAGATCTAAGCAGAGAGGGGGTGGAAAGTAATGTTAGATGGGGGTTGTATTCGCGCACGTGGCGCGACGTACGACGTCGCCTGATTGAAACACCGTGGATATTTAAATTGCGAAAGTTTACGAATAAATTTGTGTGCTAAGGCACTTCTGGTCGCGCGTTGCTCTTCCAGCCGAGTTTACCCTCGTTTTCTTTTTTCAAGATTTACCTAATGAGCTGGCGGCCGCCCGAACAAATACAGCCGGCGCGCTTTCCGCGTTTCCCCTGACAGAAAAGCCACGTTGAAAAACGCGGATTGTTCTTTCATCGCTTTGCCATCGTGAACTTCTACCCGGTTTCGTTTTCCCTCGACCTTAAACCGGGAAAACGTCCTACGGGTCGCGCTTGTTTATTAATTTCTCCCCAACCAGGAAGAATCGATGCCTCGAAGACGCGATATTAATCTCTCGAAAGAAACAAATGGGATATTATTACTTAAGATCGGTTATTAATTACGAGTTCAAATTTATATCGTTGTTTTTTCAAAGAAACCTTTCGTCAGGATCGATTTGTCGAGGAATTGAAGGGCGGAAGGGCAGCTAATCTCTGATCGACGCGAACAAGAATCGTCTGCGTCTAATCGGATAGTGGCGGGCCGCAGGTACGTAGCAAGGAGGGCTATTGAAGACGTTGAGAAGTTGGCAGACGAGGAGACGGCTAGAGTTGTAATAGGAAGATAGCGAGAGGGCGAGAGAAGGGTGGAGGTTAGTAAGTGAAACGGAGCTTGATTAACCAGCCGTCTGACCGAACGCCTTTAGCTCCGTGCACCGGTCGAAACGGAATGGAAGCTGGCGTCGTAATGACCTCAAAGGTGCTTTTGGATCCGCATGGAAGGTGTGCTGTCGCGTCAGACATCTCTCGGAATTGTACATTGTCCCTCGAGTGGCACCCACTTGGCACAACGGACCACATTAACCGACGATGCCCGTGTAGATCAAGTGGAGGATCCTTTGACGAACGGCATTAACGTCGTTTCGAGTGCCACTGGATCCTTTGGACAGACACCCTTCACTGATAACATTCCGTTTACCG